CCTTAGCCTCCGGAGCCACAGAGATTACAGGTGTGCATGCACCACTGTGCCCGGCTCATTCATCTTAATATACAGCTTATGAGCCAGTTGTGTGCATGTGTGTCTATTTTGTCATTGTAGTTCCATGAATATAAAACAAAAGAGCAACTTTTACAATACTTGTCCCTCTGGGAGAAAAATCTGGAAGGAAAAATATTTTAATAATTTCTAAATGATCCATGTGTGGAATGCTGATGAAAAATGAGTATTTCTTTAGTCTTAAACTTTGTTGAATAAGAATTTGTGGTAGGAAAATCGGCAGCAATTCAGAAATTTTAGTTTAGAATATCTAAAGTGAATTCTACTCATCATAGAAATTTTGAGCTATGATTCATAAAAATCCCTCTTATTCTGTTTTTCTTTTCTTTTTTCTTTTTTTTTTTTTTTTTTGTAGTACTGGGGATCAAACCCAGGGCACTCTACCACTGAGTTACATCCTCAGTCCTTTTTATTTTAATCTTGAGACAGGGACTCACTAGGTTTCCCGGGTTGGCCTTGAATTTGGGATCCTCCTTCCTCAGCCTCCTGAGTAGCTGGGATTACAGGTGCACATCACCAAGGGCTCCTCTTACTCTTTACGTCTTGCCTGCTCCTCACTCAGAAGCGAAGCCCAGGCCCATGACTAATCAGTAATGTGGACAGGACAGCAGAGGAAAACCAGGTTTGGGGGACCTTACCATGAAGGACAGTATTGTCTAACTTATTCCTTCAGGGGTTTAGCCCAGACTGGAGAGAGCTGAAGACATTTGAATGTTTTCATAGCAGGGCCTCCCTGTGGGTTTATGTAGATCATTAAGACAGAGTAGCCACTAGCCAAAGGGCAAGTGGTTATGAATTCTAAGTCATGCTCGGGTCAGCAAGTCACGACTCCAGGATAGTTTCTATCCATTAGAGCAAGCATTGCCTGATTTGCCCAAAATGGATTACAGACTAACACTGGGGTCCTATGGCTCATAATCAAACTACAGGAATGACCAAGAAAGAGACAGGGAAGACATAAGGAAGGAAGGAGATGTGTCTAAACAGAAGCCAAGAATTTAGACAGGAGGAAATTTTATCCCGTACTGGAATGAAACAATGAAGAAAGGTCTGGAGCATGTCATCATCTGGGCACGGGTGGCTGTGAGTACTTGGAAGTCAGGCTGGAAGAGGGCTAAGGTGTGGGAGGCCAACCTTACGGATGACTGAGTTACACTCCCCAGCTGGGTGCTGAGGCGCTCAGTCACAGAAATGGGTGTGTCTTGCTACAGCCCCTTGGGTGAAGCTATGCTCACCTGTTCCTTTGTAATATAACCCCTTGCCCTGTTTAGGATAGAATCTTCCATGGAAGTGCCTTGTGTGTGTCCCCTCCTGTTACTGTGCCCTTGGGTGTGGCCTACCCAGGTGTCAGTCAACCTGCTGACAGTGGACATCATGAAGATAGACTCAGCCCCTGAAACCTGACCCCTTGCCTCATTTGAATACCTTCTCCTCAATAAAAGGGGTCAGCGCGTGCTCTCTTTCTGCGGACCTAAAGGTATTTGTGTCTCTTGTGTGGTTATTTCGTGCAGCCCAGTTAGCCCAGTTTAACTAGAGTGACCCCTGAGCCTTTTAGTCGCGAGAACAGAAACCCGGCACTAAGGAAGGAGGCCTAGTGAAGCTGGAGTTATATCGTGAGAGTGGATGACAACAATCAAAATTGACAGCTGCCATAGTCCTTATGTACGAAGACGCTATTTCACAGGATGTTGCGTTCCTCACGACTAAAATACTCAGGGTCACTCCAAGGGAACTGTGCTGCACGAAATAACCACACAAGAGTCAGAGATACCTTTTTCTTTGGGGTCCTGTGATGGCTCCTCTGACCTTAAGGGTCCGCAGAAAAAGAGAGAGAGAGAGAGAGAGCGCGAGCGGGCACGCGCTGACTCCTTTTATTGAGGAGGAGCCATTCAAATGAGGCAAGGGGTCAGGTGTCAGGGGGCTGAGTCTAGCTTCATGATGTCTGCTGTCACATGTTGGCTGACATCTAGGAAGGCCACACCCAAAGGCAGAGCAAGAGAAAGGGACACACAAAGGGTGTTTCCATGGAACATTCTATCCCAAACAGGGCAAAGGGTAATATCACAAAGGAACAGGTGAGCATAGCTCAACCCACAGGGCGACACACCTATGTTGGAAGACACATCCTCAAACTTTTGGGATGGGGGCAATGAGATGCAGTGACGGTCAAAGCCTCTCTGCTCCCGGATGGAGAATGCGAATCATTCAGAGTGGCCTCCCACATCAGGACCTCATTAGATACACCTTGATCCTTTTTTTTTTTTTTTAAGGTGATATCACATTTCTCCTAAGTGGTTCTCAGACTTGCAAAGGAACAGATCACCAGAGTCCTTCCAGACAGAGGGGCTGTCACTCTCTCATCTTGGCAGGAACTCAGAAAAGTTAAGAAACTCAGAAAAGTTAAGAAATATCCCCAAAGGGAATGATAGATGCGTGTCTGGCTGTTTTCACAAATGACATGGATCAGTGACTTCTATACATCTCCTGTTGCTCGCTCTTGAAAATAGGCAGGTTAGCCGAGCACAGTGGCACTCACCTGTAGTCCCAGCGGCTCGGGAGGCTGAGTCAGGAGGATTGCGAGTTCAATGTCACCCTCAGCAATAATGAGGTGCAAAGCAACTTAGTGAGACCCTGTCTCTAAATAAAATACAAAATAGGGCTGGGGATGGGGCTGAGTAGTAGAGTGCCCCTGAGTTCAATCCCTAGAAGCCCCCATATCCCGCCCCCCAAAATAGGCATGTTAACTGCATTTCATCCCATGTCTGTTTCAGTCTTATATTTCTTGTTGTGAATGGGGCAGGTAACTTGTCCTTTTATTACACATGTTGATAAGAACCAAACTTGAGACTATATATTCAGTTCACCTCATAGGCACCACTTCTGATTTAGATCATCTTGGACTTCAACATTTTAGTATAGTTGTATTAAATTTGGCTTAGTGTTCTGGTTCACGGAAACATGGGCGCCTGAAGGTGGAGTGATGGGTCTCCAAGGCTGCTCTCCCACCTCCCCAGGAACCACAAATCAGAATAACTAAGCCTAGATTTGGGCTGCCTCTGGGATACACCTTAAAAAAATAGACATATAGGGACACTGTATGACTTTCAGAGCTAGGTCCTATGATACCTCACACCTTCTGCTTGAGCCCTTTGGACAGGTCACTCTGTTGAAAGCCTGTCACCATTCAGTAAGCCCTGCTACCATGAGACATCTGAAGTCCATGACTGAGGAAATCTGAGATGGCTATGGAGGTCACGGAGAGGAAGAGATGACCAGCCAGCCCAGGGCGGTTCAGCCACATGCTGTGAAGAGCTAGCCGGGAGGAAAGCATCTGCCCAGCCCAACACATGCTCCAGAAGCTTCTCCCCTTCCTACTTCTGATCAGAACCACATGACACACCCTGTGAGTCCAGAGAACCTGTAGACCTGGAAGACACGATAAATTATTGTTTTAAACCAGTATGTTTTGGGGAGGTTTGTCATGCTGCAGTGTCTATCTGAATGGGTGCAAAACCAAAATCTGGTCTCTGCCTCCCATGTGTATAAATTGTGCTTGTACCAATAATAAATTATATATTCCTTGATTTAAAACCAAAAAAACAATAATTTTCAAACACAGACCTGCAGGTTTCTGGCCAAATAAATCGGTAAGATTTGGAAACAACTTTTGAATTAGAGGAAAAAAGGTAGGGGGGCATTATTTGAGGGCTGTTGTCACAGCATACGACTAAACCAGTCAGGGTCACTCCAGGTGAACTGGGCTGGCATGAAATAATCACACAGAGACTGAGAAATACCTTTTTCTTTGGGTTCTGACCCAGCTCCCAGAAAGGAGGCAAGGCAGGCAAGAGAGAGAGCAGCCTCGAATCCAGGATGGGGGGTGGGGTTATTGGGAGAAGTTGTTCCATGGAATATTCTATCCCCAAAAGGGCAGAGGGGTAGGATTACAAAGGAACAGGTGAGTGTAACTCAACCCCAGCAGGTGACGCCTACTCCTGGAAGCTGGGGTAACGCCCAAGTTACTGCGACCTAGACCTAGCACTGTGGTGCCAGACTGAAGGTGATAATTGTTCAGAACCCAGTGCATCAGGACCTAAAGGCATCTGCATCCAGGGCAGCTCCCAACAGGCTGCCATTGAACTTTTTTTTTTTTTTTTTGTACCAGAATTGAGCTCAGGTGTCCTTTACTACTGAGCCACATCCCCATTCCTCTTATTTCTTAATTTAGAGACAGGGTCTCGCTGAGTTGCTTAGGCCTTCACTGAGTTGCTGAGGCTGGCTTTGAACTTGTGATCCTCCTGCCTCAGCCTCCCAAGCTGCTGGGATCACAGACTTGCACTACTGCGCCCCGTCATTGAACTTCTGTGGTTCTCTAACTGGGCTTGGGCTGAGAATTTCAGGTTCTCACTTCTCCGTTTCCTGCGCAAGACAAGGCACAGCCTTGATACAAAACGAACAGCTTTCAAATGGATGAATTAAGAAATCTCATCCGATGTTCCTCAAATGACCAAGTTTCCCGCAACACCAACCCAGCCCTGTCTGTGGCTGTAGACTGCTCCCTAACAATTCAGTTTGGGCATCTGAAACTGGGTCGGGTTTTGGGTTTACAGTGTCTGACATCGAATAAGTACTATATAAGGATGGTGATACTAATGTCTCAGAAATTTCAGTGACTTATCTTTTGTTCTCTGTATCCCAGAAAGATTTATCTTCTTTGATTCCTTGATCCCTCCCCTGGAACGCCCACACCCCTCTTGGTGATGACCACTTGGTTTGGTTTTGTTTTGCTGTTTTCACTCTAAAGCAAATCCCATGAAGTTTGGCAGAGTTTTAATCACCAAGGGTAGGGAAGGAGTAAGGAGGAATCATTTTCTGTTCATGGACTCTGGGAATGCCTCAACCCTGGGGAGCCCAGTCACTCTCTAGGAGACCTCCATGGAGTAGAGGAGGACATCTCTCCACACCTCTACCATCTTCTCAGAACTCTGTGGGACGCGATGGATGAAGCTGTAGAGGTGCTCGTCATTTAATATCACCTGGGAGAAGAAAATGTGTCAGAAATACAGTACAAGTGTCCAGCCTTCTTTTCCGTGTCTGCCCTCGCACCTACCCTGTCCACCCAGAACACTCCTAATGGTACTCTAGAGCCTCACACACACACTTCTATCTTCTGTGACTGTTTCAGTCGTTCAATGTGTTTTCAGTGTTCCCTCTCATTTCTCTGTTGAGGGTCTACCATTCTATGTCACATGGTCCATTTTGCTTGGCTTCCTCTCTACCCTAGATCCCCATGGCCGGGGACTGTGTCATGAACCTTGAATCCTTGTAGCTTGCAAAGAGCCTGCCGTTAAGTTAGTGCTGGATAAGTGCTCATTGATGGAATATGTTTTGGCTCCACAATCCTTGGCAGTCATTCACGGCTCATGGCAGTTTCTTTTTTGAGTAGCTCAGATTGGGACTACTGCAGGTAGAGAATGAAACCTCAATGTCCTTTTTTTTTTTTTTTTATTTTTTAGTTGTAGGTGGATTCAATATCTTTATTTTTATTTATTTTTATGTGGTGCTGAGGATTGAACCCAGGACCTCACGAGTGCAAGGCAAGTGCTCCACCACTGAGCTACAATCTCAGCCCCTCAGTGTTCTTAAAGAGGTAGATGAGCACAGATGATTTGATAAGCAGGATACTAGGGCTGGGGTTGTGGCTCAGTGGTAGAGCGCTTGCCTAGTATGTGTGAGGCACTGGGTTCCATCCTCTAAAAATAAATAAATAAATAAAATAAAGCTATTGTGTCCATTTATAACTAAAAAAATTTTTTTAATTAAAAATTAAAATTAAGCTGGCCAGTGTGGTGCATGCCTGTAATCCCTGCAGCTCCAGAGGATAAGGCAGGAGGATCGTGAGTTCAAAGCCAGCCTCAGCAAAAGTGAGGCGCTAAGCAACTCAGTGAGACCCTGTCTCCAAATAATATACAAAAAAGAGCTGGGGATGGGATTCAGTGGCCGAGTGCCCCTGAGTTTAATCCCTGGTATTAAAAAAATTTTTCTGTTAGCTCATGTGAAACATACAATTCATGGTCAACCATAGCTCCCTACCATACTACAGATCATAAGAAGTCACTCTGCTTATGCAAGGACAGCTCTGTAACCATTAATCATCCTCTCTCCAGCTCCCACCTTTACTCACATCCTTCCTGGGCTCTGGTAACCACTATTCTACTTTCTGCTTCTTCCTCCAAATATATTCTTTGACAACAAATAAACTCTAGCTCCTAAAGTGTAAAGTATGGAGAAACTGACACCGTCATTTATATATGCATCTGCATCAGCCAGTCCCTTCCTTGTGGGTGGCACGCACCCTCAGGGCACCAACTAACCTTTTCCTACCCTTTTCACATGATGGAAGGAAGCCTTCCTGAGTGATTTTTTTTATTACTTATATAATATAAATATAAGGTTTGTAATATATAACATATACTTAGATACTTACATGTTATCAGTATATTTTCACAATATATATCAATATATACTTATGTATTGTGTGTGTATATATATATATATATATATATATATATATATATATATACACAATGTTTATATACACAATGTTTGTATGAATGTAGATTATCTCTAGAAGGAGAGTAAAAGAGCTACTAATTGTTATGGACAGGAGGACTGAAGTTCAGGGGTGAGAGGAAGACTTAATTTTGGACTGATTAAAATAGTTTTATTCATGTGCATATTTTAACTGTTCAGCTCTATGAAAATCAAAATCACAGCATAAGCAGAAATGAGAGCTGTGTGAAGGCAGAAGAGACGCTCCATCTTGGTGGAAAGGGCCTCTGAGCTGACCTTGATCCTGGTCATATTTGGGAAAAGAACTGAGAAGGGCAGTACAAGCAGAGAGTGCCCAGGCAGGAGCAGTGTGGATGACAGACTCCTTTGGGCCAGGCCAGGATGAGCTGTGTCGGCCTCTGAGAGCCCAGGCGGGCGGGTGGGAGCTGCTCCTGGGCACTCACCTGGTATTCATTGTTCAGCACCAAGAAGCGCAGTTTGAATGGTTGGTTTTCCTGAAAGGGCATCTTGTGGGACGTCACCTCGGTTCTCCAGCCCCCGTCCTGCAGACTGTTCAACACCACAGAGTGGCCAAAGTACACGCGGACGTGGAAGGCGATGTCAGATGTGGGGTCCCGGTCAGTGTGGAAATCCACCTGCAGCTGAGGGTCCTTTCTGAAAGGCAGAGCACAAAGGAGGCTGGGCAGGGTCCTTCTTTGTAGTGACACACACGCTCGCTCCGTGAGCAAACAAATCCTTGTCTTGCCCCCCACTCCCCCCGAGATGGGAGGAAGACTTTCCAGGGTGAAACCACAGTCCTTGTCCCTGTGGGGCTGGGGAGTGAGATACTCTGTCCTTTAGCTCAAGAACCAAGAGCAACAGCAATCATTGACCTGGGCCTACTGGTGTTCATACCCTGAGAAGTCTATGTCCCTTGACAAAGCGCCACAGCTCAAACTCTCTGAATGTCCCCCAGGCCCCTGGCCCTGCCTGTAGCCCAGTCACTAAAGGTTTAATGCCTGCTGCTGTGGGAGCTCCAGGACCAGCACCTGCCAAGTGCCAGCATCGTGCTAAGTAAACATTTTAATAGATGTGATGAGCCCCAAAGCACTAATATTCTCACTTCTCCTCCACCCGCCACACGTGCATTACAGAGCACTCACCTGAACGTATTGCTAACAATCCCCCTGATGGTTACCGAAGAACCAACAGACAAATTCACATTCTTGTGAGTATGGGACCTGCCATGGGAATTGAGAGTGGATGAGAGGGACCAAGCCAGGTGTGGGATCCCAGTGGGGGAGCAGATTAGAGGTCAAATGACAAATTCGGAGGACCCTTCTACCCCCTGCACCACCATGGTTAGGTGCCTGGATCCTTGTCAAGATGGAAGGTAGTAGAAGAGTCAGGCTATCTGAATGCGAACCCAGGTCATGCCTCTCACTAGCAGTGAGATTGTTACATCCATTACTTGAACACTTCGTGCCTCCGTTTCCCCAGTACAAGGAGGATTATCAGAAATTCCTATTTCCTAAGTTGTTTTCAGGAACACGGGAATAGATACACGTAAAACCTTAATTGGAATCAAATTTCCTGACACAGGGAGGGTCTGTAGAGGTTTTACCCATCAGAAGGGGAGGGTGCTTTCTGCAATCTCATTCTCAGATCATTTTCTACTATCTAAAATTGTGAAATGAGACATGGATGTAAAAATATAAAAATTGACTCAAGATAAAAACAACACTGGGAGGGGTGAAGGTCAGTGGTAGAGCAAATGATTAGCATATACAAGGCCCTGGGTTCCATCCCCAGCATATCTCCTTCTATCTCTCTCTCATACACACACACACACACACACACACAGAAAACCAACAATGCTCCTTTATTTTTATTTATTTTTTTAAAAGTAGGTGAACATAATGCCTTTATTTTTATTTATTTATTTTTATGTGGTGCTGAGGATTGAACCCAGTGCCTCACTGTGCTAAGTGAGCACTCTACCACTGAGCCACAACCCCAGCCCAATGCTGCTCCTTTAAATAGAGGGAAAAAGCTGTGTGCCTTGGCAAATGCCTGTAATACGGGTGACTTGGGAGGCTGAGGCAGGAGGATTGCAAGTTCAAAGCCAGAGTCAGCAATTTAGCCAGGCCCTAGGCAACTCAGCAAGACCCTGTCTCAAAATTTAAGAAAAGGGGGGTGGGGAGACAGGCACTGGAGATGTGACTCAGTGGCTAAGCTCTCCTGGGCTCCCTGGTACCAAAAAATAAAAATAACGAAGGGTATGGGGTTGTGGCTCAGTGGTAGAGCACTTGGCTCACACGTGTGAGGCCCTGGATTCGATCCTCAGCACCACATAAAAAAGTAAATAGAGGTATTGTGTCCATCTACAACTAAAAAAAAAATATTAAAAATAAATACATAAAAATAAAGAAATAAAAAAATTTTATGCATGGTTTCACTAAGTTGCCCAGACTGGCTTCCAACTTGCAATCCTCCTGTCCCAGCCTTCTGTGTCCCTAGGATTACAGACATATGCCACAGTGTCCCTGCAAGGATCTCTTCCCTCCCCAGGGTCTGTCTCTTGCCCACATCCACAAATATCAGTCAAACATTCACAGTGGAAATGCTCATTCTTTAATCCCACGCAAGCCCCACTTTTTCCTTCTCACTCGTGACCTGGGACCACTGAGCACAGCACCCTGTCAACTCACCCGTTTTGTCATTGTCCCCTTCTTCTGCACTGCTCCAACCTTCAGCGAAGAGGGGCCTGTTCATCAACCCCCTGTGGCAGGCCCCGCCCCCGGTTTCTCTCCTGTTTCCAAGTTCCTCCCAGCAAGGGATCCCCGCGGGCGGGCGAGATGGGGTGGGCTTTTTGGAAACAGATGATCAGCTGAGCCTGCCTTGCTGGCTTGTGTCTGTGCGGTCAGAAGCCAGCGGCGTGGGTAGAGTTTCCTGATTTTTAGTCAGTGGACCAAGGGGTCAAGTCCTTGACCCTGGTGGAAATTATCCGAGAGAGCATAGAAATTGATCCTCAGCACATTTTGAACCTATGCGAAGTCCCGGTGGCAGCGTCAGTGTCGCCCAGGGAGGGCTGCACGGAATCTTCTCACACCTGTTCCAGCCACATCTTCTGGGGGCGGGGGGGGGGGGGGGGGGGCGGGCGGTGGGGGGGCAGTCAATGTATTATTGGGCCGTGAGCTGGAAAGCAGCCTACGCTGCCTTTGGGAGGGGCTCTTAGGGCTCAGCACAACCATCAGGGTATTTGTGGTTTGGGACACTGACCACCACCAAGCCCTCGGTAACCTGGCCACCCCCAGGTGCATAGCATGTACCTTTACCTTAAGCTTTTGCTTCTGACCTTTTTAGCCCCTTGGTTGCTGCTGGTAAGGGTGTTGCTGGCTCACTGGATTATTAGGGCCCTCAGCTAAATTTGCCCAGTAACAGGCCATGCGTAAAAAGCTTGCCCATGCAATAGTAAAGTGGATTGAGTTCTCTGAAACTGGGTTCCGGAGGTCTCTTTTGGACTTCGTGGCCACACCCTCCTCAGCTTTCGGGGGTGGGGGGTGGGGCTTCCCCTGACTCAGTGAGCCCAAAATGTACATCTAAATTTCAGAGAAGGTGCCCAACCAGTGGATTCGGGAGAAAAGTGTGACTCATAAGTTCTAGTTCTTGATTAGTGTGTGCCTTGTTCCGAAGAGAGCGCAGAAGGACTTCCATCATGATGCAGTGGATGCAGAGGACTGAGGACCCTTTCTCAAACTTTCCTTTTGAGATGAGAGGAAACATCCTCAAAAGCTAAATTAGGATTTCCTTTTCTTTTTGGTCATGGTGAAGTGTCACCCCCTTTCTCCACAGAAAAGTCTTAACTGGGCTTCTCCAGAAATCCCCACCATGGCTGATTTTAGGACTGTCAGCAAAAGAGTCTCTGCAAAAGAGTTCAATGTAGATAAACTTCCTATTTTCCTGTTGCCCTGTTTTTCTTGGCCACTAACCAAGAAGATACCAGCACTCCAGGTGCTGGACAACCCCTTACTAGTTTTTCACAAACATATCCAGTAGAGTAGTTTGTAGAAATGTGCAAACAAGGCCTCTGGCCTTGAGCTGGGCTTCACAGAGATGTCTACATTCCTAAGAGGAGAGAAGTTACCAATTGGGCTCCATGGTAACCGCTGGCAGGGAGAGGAAAGAGAGGGGAGGAGAAGCTCTCCCCGTCTCAGGTGTTGTCCTTGAAGGGTTAACTTGCCCAGAACAGTGAAAGAAAAAGCTGCTTTTATGTGAACTTCTGCAGACTGTGAACTTCTGAGCCCCTCCGCTTACATGCTGGGTATGAAACTCTGAAACTCCCTGAACTCGGGGTTCAGGGGATTGATTGATGACAGCAAAAGTTGTGCCCTCTGAACCTGGCTGCAGCCAAATAAAACTGTGTCCTGCTGTCTTTGGTGCCTTGCCTCGTCTGTCCCTACAAAGTGGTACTGGGAATCCAACCCAGGACCCTGTGCGTGCAGACAAGTGCGCTACTGTTGAACTACACCCACAGCCCTAAATCAGAGCATTAAAGAAGGAATGTGTTATTGTTCGATCATCATGGATACAAAATAGTGCTTTCATCAGCTGCTCATTGAACTGTTGGGTCAGTTTCAGCAAACCAGGCCTCTTTCTGAAGTATCAGCACATGGGAACGGAGGTCAATCAGCCACTTTAGGCAGCGAATGTGACTTGGGACCACTGAGCACAGCACCCTGTCAACTCATTGTTATCTTCTTCTGCACAGCCCTTCATTTCCTGTCCCTGAGGGTCTCTGCAGGTACTGTGGGCATCCTCTGTTACGGTATCCTCAATGAACTTCATTGCCCTTGGGTAGATCCAAGAGATGTTGGCGTTTATTTATAAAGTACTTGTGTTTCACTTTTATGTTTGTTTAGAAAAGGGAATTGGATTGGATCCCCAACTCAGCCAAAATTTATAATCCAAGTCATTGGAAATGGTTATCCTTCAGAGCTAATCTGCAAAACAGGGCTTCATCTGGGAGTTTTGGAAACTCAAAGAGAGAGCAGCTCCAAAATAAACATGATATTCAGGTCACTAAGGGGTTTTTTTTCCCCCCTTGGATTGGGTTGAATCGGATGGTTAGTGTTAGGGTCCCAAACTATTTCTACATATAGAGCATCTTTAAATAAGTTTTGTCACTGAACTTGAGACCTTTTTTCCCTCGCTCATGTGCCCATGAAAATTAATGCGCATACACATGCATATACTTGCATACATTTGTACGTATATATAAGTAAGTTACTTTGCCATTAGAATAAAAGTAGACACTAGAGGGACAACTGTGAGGAACAGTTTGGTCTTCTGTGGAAGTCTTCCTCTACGCTGAGGAAGGCAGGTAGAGTTCGCTGAAGGGAAGTTTTCTCATCATCTGTCAATCCTGCATTGCCAGGTCTCACCACCACAGCTACCTGCACACCTGCTTCCTCAGCAGCACTGGCCTCTAAAGTAACATCTGTTAGAAACAAGATCTTGTTGGTTGAGCATCCAATGCTGTTTGCAATCTCTCTGGAAAACTCTCACTCTCCACTTGGTGTCCAATTTGGATATCAAAGTGACCACAAAAAGCTCAAGAACATTTCCCTCTGTAGAATGCCCAGATAATAGTTTCTGAGCCTCTGCACTTCCAGAGAATAGATCTACACCTTCCTTCCATCTTCTCTCCACTTCCTGACGGCTGCAACTACATCTTCAAAGAATTCTGCTTTCATGTGTCCAGCTGTGAATGCTGCCCTCCACACGTGGCCCTGCAGGTGTTTGAGTGCCGAAGAGACCTTTGCCAGCACACATTATCTACGACGGCCCGGATTATCTGTTGTAGTTCATCGGCCCCATTTCCAGATGCTGCAGGGATTGGAAGAGCCCAGTCAGGTGGGCATCTTCTTCAGCCTGTTTTCTCAAAAGATTGACATCCTGCTGGCACCCCTCTTCTTCCCAGTGTGTCTGCAGATACTCTTTAACATTATCTTTGATGTAAGGAAATAAGATGCCCAGCAGCCATTGTCCCCTCTGCTCCCGCTACTTTAGCCTCCCGAGGCATTTCCCATTGGCGGACAAGGGCGCCTCGGCAGCTCCCTTCCCAAAACTTAACCTTCTTACCCTCATGGGCTCCCCCTCTTCTGCCTCACCCCCTCCTTTTTCTTCTCGGTCCTGGGGATTGAACCCAGGAGCACTTAAGCCCTAGCCCTTCTTATTTATTTATTTATTTATTATTTTGAGACAGGGTCTTGCTGGCCCCCAACTTTCAATCCTCCTGCCTCAGCCCTTGAGGAGCTGAAATTACAGGCGTGCACCACTGTGCCTGGCTGTGCCACCTTTTTTTTTTTCATCCAATCATCTATCCCTGGGCACTTAGGTGGATTTCATATCTTAGCTACTGTGAATAGTGCACGGTAAACCTAGGAGTGCAAGTATCTTTCTGATATCGCATCCATCTTGATCAATATTTATGCTCTACAAGAAATATCTTCCCAGGCCACTATTGGAGCCAAAAGCACCTCATCTATGAAATAACCTTTTCCTGCCTTAGCTTAGAGACAGGAGTGGGAGGAGGGCATGATCATCCTTGAATAAGTTAGTTCATTTAAGTGGAGTTTCAATTAATTCAGTTGAGTGGAGGGAAGTGGGAGCTGTGGGGTCCAGATAGATGGAAAGGCAGCCCCCAGGTTGTGCCCACTCCTCTGTGTTACATGGAGAGCGCCCAGGCTTAAGCCCAGTCTCCCTCAGCCCCCACCCAGCCCCCTCTGCACATAGCTGCTCTCCCCATTATTCAGGTTCCAAACTCCATCCTCAGCCCAGAATCCTCAGTGCCATTCTGCACTGTCCTCTTTCTGTCACAAATCTTATGGTTCCACTTTCATGAAACACTATGAATTGGCCCCCATTGACCCCTCGGACCCCAACAGGTGACTGGGGACAGGTAATTGCCCAGGACATCACTCTGATTGCTTGGAGAACTGTTTCTTTCATAAACAAATGTCTTTTCCTAGAACTCCTTTCAGAATTCCTATCCAGACAGCATTTCTCAGAAACCACCCTGAATTAGGAAATCCAGACTATTTGAACTGTGTGTCTCTGCAGGATCTATTCCCGGCTTTACAATCAGAAGTGAAAGTAAAACAGAAACAGATTTCAACTGGGTTTAAAAATTCAGCCAGTGTAACAGAGAACTGAAAGTACTGAGTTGCCAGTGGGTCCCAGAGTGCATCCTGTCTCACTTTCCCTTTGTCTTTTTTTTTTTTTTTTTCCTCTTTGGTCCTGGGGATTGAACTCAGGGGCACCCGACCACTGAGCCACATCCCCAGCCCTATTTTGTATTTTATTTAGAGACAGGGCCTCACTGAGTTGCTTAGTGCCTTGCTTTTACTGAGGCTGGATTTGAACTCACAATTCTTCTGCCTCAGCCTCCCAAGCTGCTGGGATTACAGCACTTTTCCATTTTCTGAGGGCATCATTGGAATGGACATGTTCAGCAATTGGTAGAATCCCATGTCTGATCTCTGACCTGTGCAATGAAAGCTATGATGGTAGGAAAGTCCAAATGAAGGCCATTTGAGCTGCTTCCAGCTATAAATATGGTAACCCAAAAGCCATAGTGCCTTCCTGGAGGGTTTGCGGAGATCAGTGCAAACATGGAGGACTTAAAGATGCAGGGGTGGCCATTAGCACCACATTCCCATTCACTCATCTATTTGGCCTGTGTAGGAGACAATTACATCCCCGACAGTGGTAGCAGACTGTCATAAGCTTCACCAGATAGTGATTCCAATTGTAGAGACTGAGTCAAATGTGGTTTCACTGCTTGAGTCAATTCACACATCCCCTGGTACATGGTATGCAGCTATTGATCTGGCAAATACCTGTGGGCACGTTGCTGGGCTTCCTAACTTGGCAAAACTTCTAGACATCAGTGGCTGGGCATGTTAAGAGATCCATCCCTTCTAGTAGATATGATAGGATACACCAGTCATCCCAGCAACTCAGGAGGCCCAGACAGGAGGATCCCAAGTTCCAGGCCAGCCTCAGCCACATAGTGAGAGCATCTCTAAACAAAAAATAAACAAGAAACATCATCAGTGTGATGCTTAACCTTTGATTTCCATCACATCCTTCATACGATGAATCAGAAAGCCCCATGGCTCCTCCTTCATAAAAAAACCACAAATCAACCACTTCTCATCACCCGTGGCCTGGTTTTGTTTTCTTTTGGGGATTGGGGATTGAACTCAGGAGCACCTAACCACAGAACCACCTCCCCAGCCCTTTTTATTTTTCATTTTGAGACTGGGTCTCACTAAGTGGCTTAGGGCCTCACTAAGTTGCTGAGGCTGGTTTTGAACTTGTGATTCTCCTGCCTCAGCCTCCAGAATGGTCTGTTATGTTATGGTCTATTATTTACACTGCTGTATTGTTCTACTGAGTGTCTTACTTACAGTAGAAGCTCAAAAACTTATATAATAAATAAATGTCTTTCCTATTAAAACAGAAAAGGACAAAAGTAATGCCATTGTGTTTTGACCTGACTCCATTGTAAAATGTCTTCTTTTCAGCCTCCTGATGGTTATATCTATGATGACAGTACAGTAGGACCTTCCAACGTCCCTGACTATGGCCCTGATACATAATAAAAATGACTTTGAAATGTGTAATCAAAACAATTCTCTCATGTAATCAAAATATCTGTCTAAACAGGATTTTTCTGACCTACATGGGCCTCAGTTATTCTTGTGGTTTTTGTGGGGTTTGCCTTTATAGATTCTGTGCTTCGAAAGGTCACATGCTGGGGAGTTCTTTGAGGCGTTAGCTTGCCTGGCTTGTTCATTCATTAAAAGACCTTTTCCCCTTTGACTTTGGCTCAGCACGAGGGGTGGTTTGTGATTCTCACTCCATAACACTGCAACTTCTTTCTGGAGTACAAACCAGGGAGTATTTCTCAGAAATCAGCAGTTACTTGATCAATGAGCTGTGTTTGGACACCGTTTCCTCTGAATCTACTGATGGTTCTATGATTAGAAGTGAAAATGAAACCAAAAGATGTTTTCAGCTGAGTTGAAAAGTTCAGTCAGTATAACAAATAAGGAAAGTTCTGGAAGGCAAAGGGGAAGGGTAGGCAGTTT